CCATCACAATGGGCACTAAGAAGAATGTTGTTAGAAATCTTAGCAAAAAGAATTGAATAGGCAGAGTGAATGAACTGTCCTTTTGTCCATACAAGTGGTCACTATAGGACATACTTGAGTTCTACTTGCAGAAGAGAGTTGGAAAACTTCTTAGGTACTGTCTTTTTCCTGCCTAGATAAAGAAAGGACTTGAATGTGACATCTCCCATTGGCTCTAAAAAATGAACATGAAAATTGAATTGATGCTCCTTTCCCCACCAAAATTGTTTTCTCTAGACTATATTGTCAATGAAGTGGATCAGGTGATTACATTTAATTTGGAGTACATTTGAAACATTTATACACTCTAGATGTTAGTTTTTGCAGGATTGTGGAAGTATTGATAGATACCTCATAATTAAGGTTATATATTTTTTCCTATTACGTGAAAGTTTCATTTTTTGTTATTTAGGAAGGTATGCATCCTATTTTTTTAAAATAGACTTACTATGAGGGAATAAAAGTAATTCTGAGAAAGATACAAGTAAATACTTTGAAGAGTTAGGAGTTAAAATTACTTTTTAAAAAATTGGGGCTCTCTCACCATTTTAAAGATGCTGCAATTTAAAATGCCTTCTTTTTACTCTTAAAACTTACTATGCATGTTAATCTGCTTACAGTTTCATACTGTACATTATTATTTATTACTACATCCCTTTTGTGCAAATGTTGACACACAGGGCAGAAACTAGTCTGTTGCATTCCTCTCTGTCATTTGCTGCTGCTTCCATCTGCTCTGTGGTGTTGTGATTAGATTATTTTGCTCTTCTTAAGGTTTCTCTTGGGCTTTCTCACTTCCTCACTTCAGTTGATTTCCACTTGACAGCTTCATTTGAGAGTCTGTGCGTTGGGATCTGGAGTACATGCCCCAAATATGTCCAATGCTTCCTTCTGATTCTGGTGGAAACAAGCTTATAGTTGGTGATTTCATGGATCTCTTCATTGATAATGAAGTCTTTCCAACCAATGCCCAGAATCTTTCCTAGGCACTTATTTTTGAAGGTGTTTAGTTTTCCATCTTATGTTTTGGTAGATCTCCAGCTTTTGCAGCCACATGTTAGCACTGAGATTATGTTTGAATTGAAAATTCTCTCTTTTGTTCTGAGGTTATATATCTTTGATTTCTGTACACTATTAAGTTTAGAAAATGCAGTGGGTGTCTTGATGTCACTTCCTTTCTGAGATCTCAGTTGGCCAATATGGTGCTGAACTAGTCTACTTTCTTGATATGTTTGCCTTCTAATGTGACTTAGACTGCTGTCCCTGTGGGTGCTCCACTTCAAGTGTTGGTGCATCCTGGTGCCGTCGATTGGAGATTTATGGTAGCAGTGTCCACGTGGGTCGCGCATGTGCAGTAGGTGTCTTGCAGTGCTGTTGGTGCCGCATCTAGTGTGTGCACGACCTGAGCCCTCCAGTCCCTTCTCAACCATCCTCGGCTGAAGACGGAGCTCAGGGGCAGTGTTCGTTACTCTCTCCAAACCTTTAAAAAAGATAGAAGTTTAAATAATTAGTTAATCTTTTACAAGTTATAGTTAGTGTTAGTGATAGTTTTAAGGGGAAAAAAAAGTTTACTTTCCCAGTTTATCCTCCCCGCTCCGGGGTCGGTTAACTGTTAGAGATGCCTGGCTCCCCAGGCTTTAAGCGATTGCGGCTCTTGTCGCAAAGTAATGCCTGTTTCGGATGGGTACTCT